AGTGGAAGTTGGAGTGTGTCATCCTTTCCTTTGTCCTTGCTATATGCTATGACCCTACCTCATATCCTTTCCAGCGCTGACTCGTTCTTGGGACTGTTCTCCTTCAGTAAGCCCCACTCACAACACACCTTTATATCAAGATAAGTGCCAAAGCTGGACTTGACTGGAGTCTGACCAGCTCTCTCTACCAGACCTTCTCACACCACCTGGTCCCCATCTCACAAGACGTCCCTAATGCACACCTTGTAGGGCACCTGGCACAGGCCTTGCAGTCCACACCCAGGTCTACTGGGCCCAGCCCAGCTAGCAAAGGCGTTGCAGAAGTGCCCCAGCTTTCAGGTAGTTGGTGCTTCACACTGGCTCTTCCTTAGCAGGCAGTATCTCCCAACATATTAAAAAGATGTGTCAAGAGGCCTCATCCATTTCTTCAAGAAAGTGAACCAGAAAACAAACTGTCTCGTCATTGTGTGCCAGCCTCAGCAGTGGCTCCATCTTCCCTTGGTCTTGGGAGGTCCAGCTGCATCATCGCATTTGGCTCAAGCCTGTTTCCTAGCAGACTTACCTTCACCAGCAACCTTGTAGACACACCCAACCCAGTCCTTCTTCCCCTGCACATGACCTGTGGTGTAGGTTTTGCTTTTACTGTTGGGGATAGAAGAATTGGGACAGAAGAGCAGTGAGGTGACCACCCAATGTACCAGAGCTTCATCAGCAGGGCAGGTTTGGAACCTATTGCATGGACCCCAAGCCTGTATTCTTTCTGTAACACTGCACTGCATCAAAATGGTTTCCAATACTTCTGCCTTGTAAATAAAAACTAAACCAAACTCATGAGGTGCACTGGCTAGGAACCAAACCTGGGTCTTCCCCAAAGGAGATGAAAATTCTACTAAACCACCATTACTTTCATATAGGTCAAGTTCCCACCCATCCCCATCATGTGATTCCAACTCTAGTGACTCTCTAGGATAGAACTGCTCCCTAGGGTTTCTGAAGCTGTAAAATTTTATGGGAGCACACTGCTTCATTACCTTCTCAGGACTGGTGGTGTGGGTTCAAACTACTGACGTTTTGGTTAGCAGCACAATGTTTAACCCATGATGACACCAGGCACATCTTGTTAATACCCACTGTTAATCTTAGGTTTCTGAGGCTATAAATCTTTATATGAAAGCAGATAATCTCATCTTTCTTCTGTGGATTGGCTTGTGGGTTTGAACTACTTACCTTGGTCAGTAGGCAATGTTCAACCCACTGAGTCACCAGGACTTTCTTGTAAATAAGTCACATAATAATGCCTAATATTGAATCAAATAGCCAAGGGTCCCCAATACATTCATGACTTCTTGTTTTGAGAATAGGGGCTGCCTGGACCTCTGTCCTAGTGCCAGGGCTGCTGATAGTAAGAGATGCTGCTGCAAGACCCCAGCACTGCCCCCTTTTCTTGACACACGGTGATCTGAGGAATAGACTTGAAAAACGCAGAACACATCCATACCTCCAGCCCTGAGGAGCAGTTTCCAACTCTCTCACTAAACACTAAGCAGTTAAATTAGGTAGACACACGTAGTTGAGAAAGGTTGTAATAAAGGAATCAACAATTCTATACTTTTGCATACGAAATTCCAATTCAACTATACATACACGGTACACTATGTTATTTTGGTAATATAGGGACACAATTTAATGATTCTAATTTTTTTTTGTAGTTTTGTTTTTTTACAAGTCAGGTGCCATAAACATTCAAACAATCTGTCTTTTAAAAAGTACGTTTACAACATCGAAAGAATTAAAGATGAAATATAAACCTTTCTACTTACAATTTTTATACAGATTAACCAAATCACAAATACCACAAATAAAATGTTAAATCGTAACAATATAATGAATAAACATTCAGATTCTTAATAAAATCTTCCTGTAACATTTTTTTAAACTTATCATAATACTAGATAATCTATGCAGAGTTTTGGGGTACAATACCAAGAAGGCACCAACAGTACAAAGCAATTACAAAGCAATTTCAGAACTTTCTTGAGTACTCTACACGGATCAATAGCACACACACACACACACACACACACACACACACCACACACACGAAAAAAAAAGGGGGAGGAAATGCGCTTTAAGGAAACCTGGTGCAACCCTTGAGAATCAGCTGGCTCCAGTCTTTTCTGATCCATCAGGTGGCACTGGATGCCAGGCAGAGAAACCCCATATTTACTCTGTGGTTTCTCTGCTGTTCCAGCTTCTCATCTGTGCCATAGGAGCACTATACTGAGAATACCAGCAAAATCATTTTAAAGCACAAATGCTTTAAAAATGTCTAAGCAGAAGGACTGGTCAGAGGTTTTTCCAAACCACTACATTTACAAAAATATTTCCCTTAAACTTGGGATTGCTCCAAAACATTTACAAATATAAAAGTAGTATTATGGAAGGACCCAAAGCCAAGGGTGCATTGACAGACTGTTACCACACCATATAAAAAAATTACCATTTAAAAATAGTAACAGAGAAGCAAATAAAGATTCAACAGCTTTGCCGCCCGCCAACCCCCGCCCCCCTTGGTCTGGGTACTAGGCAGAAAGTGGCCTGGGCAGTCTGCCTTTGTGATTCAAGGATGGCCAATGGTGGCTGCTCACTGCTGACTTAACAATCATCACTGATGCCTGTGACACCCCTGCACACCAGATGCAAGGACACTCTTTTACCCAGTGTCATGTGCTTTGTATGTCACCAACAACTCTGTGGTCATCCCAGAGTCATGAGAAATCTTGTTACTTGTTTGTTGGAGGCTTTGTGCCACATTAAATGAAACGGTTGGAATGTTGCCACTGAATTTTTTTGCTTACATTTTAGACATGAAAAAAAGTCACTCATCTGACAACGTGTCTGATCACAATGAAATGGAGGTGCTAGTGTCCCCAGGGTACATTTGAATTACCCCCACCTGTACATTTCTAGAGGTGGAAAGTATCAAGATGAGCCCAACACACATAACACAGTACTTATCACAGTTGCTATTCTTTGACCTGCTCAATTATGTGTGGCATGATAATGGAAAGTGCACATCTCATGGCTATAATGATTCTAGAATGCAGCCAGCCTGATTCCACAGGAAGAGAGATTGATAAGAGGCCACAGCCCCCAGTGTTAGTAGCCAAGGCTGTGGCTTTCAGTTTAGAAGAGGACTGTAAAAAGTGAGTATCGTTACATAAACGTACCACTTTAAAAAAAAAAAAAAGTACTAAGACAGAATAATAATAAAAGTAAACTGCCAGTGATCCTTTTCAAATGGGTTTTCAGATTAACAGTCAAGTCCTGGTATCTTGTTGATGTTGGGTGGGCCTCATAGGACAACTTTGAGCAGAAAAGTGGACGTTGCATATCTGGGAACTGTAGCTCAGCTGTCTGAGCACAAGCCAGGCAGCTTTCTGAGTCATGGGAAGCATTGAGCTTCCACTGGGGCTGGGTGACAGGTGGATAGCAGTATGAGGACACAAGGAAGCCCTCCTAAAGTAGAATCAAGAACCTCACTTTAGGATGTTTGTGTATTTTCCTCAAGGTTGGACAGATATGTTAGACCTATGATGTACGCCAAGAAGGTTAAAATGACCTTTGTCACACCAAGATGGAAAATGCTGGGCTTTATGGGAAGGAGGAAGGCCCGTGGGCATTTATTTCTGTTCTAAAGCACAAGCAGAATCTGACTGCCCTTCAGACACACTAAGTCAGAGGAAATCAACACTGAATCTTATATGACTGTGAAGATAAAAGATGTTCATTTATTTCCATGAGTTACAAGCCCATCTCTCTTCATAATAGCAGGTTGTCGAAACCTCAAACTAAAAAAAGGACTGCTGGGAAATGAAAAGCTAAAAATAGAATGCTTTCTCCTAAGTGATCTGCTGGGTAGCATTTCCGTGGAACATAACTCAGAGGTAACAATAGTTTTTTTGTTTTTTTTTTTTCTTTTTCATTTCAACCATAGACATGTGGCACTTGGACAGTCATCTCTGCACAGAAAGCTGTAACAGTCATGCGAGGGGGTACAGTAATTATTGAACAAGGCAAAGTTCTCACCACAAAGAGCAGTACGGGGAGGAGAGGGTGCACTGCCCTGGCGCAGAACACTGAGTCAACTCCACAGTACAGTGTTGGGGAGGAGTGGACACAGTGCACACGGGACGAGTGCTAGCTTTGTCAGAAGGTCTGGACTCGGCAGAACCAGAAATGCCTGAGGGCACTGGACGACAGAATGTTGCTTCATGTCACGAGCTCATGAAGGCTTTGTTACAGATTGTTAAAGACTGTAGATTGGAAGGTGAACTGGAGATGCTGACATGCTTATAGGAGGGAAGAGTATGCTTTCTTGTTGAAAGACGCAGGGGTTCCCCCGCTACGTCCTCAAGTGGTGAGTGCAGTGACAGCACACATACCTTGGGGTGGTGTGTGGCGGGGAGCAAGTGAGACATTTGGGTCAGTGTCTAGGGTGTTTGGACCTTTGTGTTTCACTCACCGAATGCTAAGTGATGGCATCACTAGAACTGTTTTTGAAATCCTGCACACGCTTAGTGTGATCTACAATGCACATCTAGGCACCTGTTTTACCTCTGTAACTGGTACAGGAGTGCATAGCAAATCCATAAATGCTTAAGGCAGCACTTCCTCCTTTTGATTTAGAAAAAAGGTCGACTTTACTACACACTATAGATGTCTGACATGATGTGAGGACAGTGAGCTGACCAGTGCCCCACACAAGAACCCGTGCTGAGTCCTTGCTTCAGTTTGCAGCATCGCTCAAGGTGCTGACATGCATGCCTGCTCTGGGGACAACGTCCAGTGCAAATATGGGGCTGTCACTGCCTTAAAGTGCTCTAACAGGAGCCTTTCCTACTGGGCAGTGAAACCAGTGCTGGTTGGACACCATCATCTGTAGGAGATCAAGGGGTCAGCGGGTGTGTGGAGGGGAGGAGGAAGATGAGGAGGATCTAAGGAACCATTGCATCTTTCAAACCAGAAAGCGATTAATAACTAAAGCAATGGTAAGCAGTTGGGGCACAGAGACCATACTGCCGCAGGTCACCAGTGGTGACACACATAGAGGGGCCAGGGATGAATTCTCTGGACTGAGGAATTCTTTGAAAGCATAAAAGCCACACTACCAGAAACCACCCCTCTGAATGGCTCAAAGGAGTCAAGGTGGGTAAGCCGAGACAGGCTGGAGACAAGGCCAGGGTCAAGAAGTGGGAAGAAGAACACCAATGTCTGAGACGTCCTGTCCTTGGAGCCCTGGTCCTATTGAGACAGAACAAAACAAAACAAATCCATAAGCCAAAAATGAACAACACAATGACACCGGTGTTAGGAAAGAGTGCGTGGAGGTGGGGGTACGAAACATGCCAAAAAGTTGTTTCACTTGGGACCATGTCTCACCTTGCAGGCTCCTCCCCTTGAACATGCTCAGAGGTTGTCAACAGCACTCACAGGACACATACACACACACATTCTGACCCCCAAGCTAAGCCAGTTTCAAAGTTCCTGAGATGCCTTTATCTTATTTCCTACTCCAGTGACCAAACTCATAGTCTGAAGGTCTTTGTGAAATAACAGATCTTCTTGCAGAAACACCATCTGCTCTCTCCTATTCCTACCCTTTCTTTCTGGTTGACTGGGGGGATGACATTAACTGCACACGCAGTGGAGCGTTTGCTATCTAGGTTTGGTTTTCTCCATGGAACAAGCATGATGAGCAAACCAACATCCTGGCTGGGAGAACGATAACAGGGGGTTCTGGGATGGCAGGAGCCCCATTGTGGGCCCTTGAGACAAGAGATGGCTCTCATCGCCTAGGTCCAGAGTGACCTGACAGCAGATTTCCCACCAGGCCTCACAATGACACGCAGGAGGACAACAGGCTGTCGGCTGTCACCAGCCTGCACTTGTTTCTGTCCCTGGAAGGCTCCACTTTTCCTCTACTTTTCTTCAGGGCTCATAGACTGACCACCATGGTACAGGCAAGCACACTTTCTCTGTATTTTCCTACTCAGGATCTCCATGGGGAGAAGTTGCCTACCAAGCCAAACTGACTGTACTCTTTGCAGGACAGTGTTCTCACACTAGAGCATCGGCATCCCCGGTAGGGTGGAGCCTAGGCCAACACTCTACATACACAGTGCACTGTATGCACTGAGTAACTGCCTGTGCTGGTGCTGCACCAGTACCAACCTCTTGGTTCTGGAAGGTCGGCTGAGACAGGCTAGCCAGGTGACCACCTACCTGAGTACAGGCAGAAAGAGTTGTACTAGCCCTCTGAGGATGTGTGCTGGCATGAGATGCTTGGCTGGAGTGACAAAGGGCAGCAGGCCATTCTGACAGATCACTAAGCACTAAGACCTCTGCTCTGTCTACCACTGTCATGACCTAATGATAGGACGTGGAGGTAGGGCTCACAGCTCAGAGAGGGAAGCTGCTTGGCGGCAGGCAGGAAATGGAAGCTGCTCTAAAATGCCAAGGGAAAAGCTAATGCTCTCAGTGATCAATTTGCCTAAGGCAATCTACCAGGAGGCAAAGAGGAGGAAGGATAGACACCAGTTTTATGGATGGACGAAAAGGAGCTGTCTAGGTCAGGACAGTATGAAATGTGTTATTATTTTAACTTTACAGTGAAAACATTTCTATAACTGAGCTCCTTAAACCGAGTGTACTGGATATACTTTGAACCTCTGAAACAACTCAGGACATGCTACAGACACACTGAAAAGGAGGGTAAGATGAGGGCCTCTTTCAGAGCAGGCTTTGCCACCCTTCACCCAAGGTTGCCATGTGAGAGTGCCTTTCCCGATTCTTACCTAGCTTTCTAGAATGTACTTGTGTATTCCTAGCACTGGTATTCTACAGGTGCTATAATTTGCAGTTTATCACCTTTTTGTTAGGAGTCTTTGGATGATGCAAATGGTTAAACACTGGGCTGCTAAGCAAAAGATTGGCTGTTGGAAACCACCCAGAGAAACCATGAAAACCCTAAGGAAGGGGTAGTTCTACTCTGTCCACAAGGGGTCACCATGAGTTGATATCCTTGTTGTAGCTGGGGACTCAGTAGCAAAGTTCAACATGATTGTGAATTGAGTCCCTAGACCTATCCGGGCAGAAAATCTAGTCAGAGGCCATGTGGTAAGACTAGAATTCTTGGTTTAAAAGCCCTGGACTCTGACTAGTTATTTCGCTTATGTTGTATAACTGCTCAGCTCTCCCCTTCCCATCCACTACCATAAACACGAGAAATAGATGAGCTTCAAAGAATGAGAGGTTGTGGAAGAGCCTGGCTTGCTGCCCCACTTTCTTGGGTTCAAGTATAGTCTAGAAAACTACACAAGTCACTAAAAGTCAGTCTGGATGTTGACAACTTACTTGGAAATCCATATTTTTTTAAAATAAGGACCATCAGATGGGCTAATGGGTAACTAGATGTGTGAGAAAGCGTATGTTGAGCTTGAACTACCAAAAACAACTTTGCAGTCTCATGCATTGGCCCACAGTGCCAAGGAAAGCATATAGTATAGGAAAATGTTAACTGAAGCAGTATTAAGTCATGAAGCTATCAGTACTTATTAAGGCTAGACTCCACTGAAGAAAAACATAATGACTGTTTTCCTTTCTTTTTTACTATCATTTCATTTATACCCACTTCTTTCTCTTACTAAGGTTTACTGTACGGTTTACTACAGCATCAAGTAAGTACCTGACAAATTTAAGATCTGTATCCTGGCTGGAATCTTGCAGTCTCTTCAAATATGAGTTCTTTGAGTTTTTCCTTGGGCAAGTCATCCAATTCCATGTCAAACTTGAATGGTGCTTCAGCGATAGGCTTTAAAAAGAAAACAAAACATTTCACAAATAAATGCAGTTAAGGTTAAGGCAGTAATTCCTGATCTATAAAATGACTATGGTTTCCAACAACCCAAACCCTGCTGTCAAGACATTCCAACTTAAAACGATCCTTATAAGACACAGTAGACTGCTCCCCTAGGGTTTCTGAGGTTATAAATCTTTACGGAAGCAGACTGCCACATACTTGACATTGAGTAGAAAAGGACAATGATAACAAGCATATCGTTCCACATTACTGAACTCCATTTCTTGTGAGTGCTTCTAAAATGGCCTGAGTAATGGAATTCATTTCAAATGTTCTGAACGTAGCACAACCAGAAAAACGCTCAAATGTTTTAAGGCATAAAATGTTGAATAACAGAAATTAGCCTGAGATTGAAGTTGTGAGGTATGTTTGGACAACAAAAACACCCATGATACTAAAATGAACGCATGATTAAATAAATGACAGTATCTTTATATGAAGATAAATACGTAGCTGTGAGACATGAGGTTAACACCACACAAAGATTAATGTCATGTGAAAATGCTGTGTGTATTAAACACAATGAACCCCACTTTAAAAAAAACTTCGATACAGAAATGAAAAACTGAGAAGAAATGCTTCCAAAATCTTAGTTAAGTATGTAACAAGACTGCAAAATCATTTCTTGTGCTTTTCTGTAAATTCTTTCTTTTTAAAACCATGGACACTAACTCTACGAATAACCATAAAGTTCTTAAAGTATGTGTCTGCCAAAGAACCACAATACACTCAATGACAAAAATGAAATTAATCAACATCCATTGATATTATTTATATTTAAAAGTTCACAAACTAATATAACACTATTGTTACTGTTAAATGTAGTGGAGTTGATTCTTACAGTAGTAACCCTATATAGGGTTTCTGAGGCTTTAAATCTTTGTGGGAGCAGAAAGCCTCATCTTTCTCCTGTGCAGCAACAACATTGTATATAACATTATATACTGCTATATACAACATCACATACTGTTAAATATAACATTGTATATTATGTTGTTGTTAAGTGCCATCCAGTCTGCTCTGACTCACAACAACACTATATAGGGTTTCAGAGAAGCAATTGGTGCAATGAACTGTTGACCTTATGGTTAGCAGTCCAGTGTTTATCTTACTTTTATGGTTATGTAACTGAAATATTGCTATCAGTACCAGATTTACTCTCCTGTCAGTCTCACAGGTAAGAATGAACAGACTCCTAACTCTGCATAAAGCTGTGGACATTTGGAAGAGGGCAGGACTCAGTTCCACATGAAGACCTGAATCTTGCAGTCTGGGCTCCTGCATGTACCATCTCTCCTAAGAGGTCGGAGCACTGATAGGACACTAGTACACCGAGTCTTAGAACACCCTCCAGCCCACAGGGTTGGTAAAAGCCAAGCTTGTCATCTAGTATTGTTGTCTACATCCATTACTGTGACTATTACAGGGGCAAGGGCAGTAGGGGCAGATGGGGACAATGATTAGCAAATATTTCCTCTTCTAATTTCTACTTTATTTGATTAGTTTTTGCGGTTACTTTTCCTTTCACCTCCTGTTTCCTCCTTAATTTTAACTTCCCCATCCCTAAGTCTGTTCTTACCCTTTTAACATCAAATGTATGATTGCCTGTGTGTATAGGTTTCAACTACAATGATCAAAACGTGAGGCTCATGTTGCATTTTTCATTAACCTCCAGAGAACATTAAGGCTGAAGTTCTAGAGAAGCCAACAAACACCAAGGAGAGGGGTCATCCTGGCAAGTCCACTGATCAGCAGCACTTTCCTCTGGAGCTCCAAGGATGCTACATACCCACATTTGCCCTCATCACTTCTCCCCTACTACAGGATTCCTGTGTTTTCATATCTCCAGGGACAGCACCAACAGGCATGAGACTGGCCAAGCAATGCCTGTCAGGGTACCTTTGTTCCCACCCTCCACCCCCTTCCTGGGAAAAGCCAACCCCTTCTCAAGTCTATGCTGAGATTTACATGTTTCTTTTTGCAACAGCCCATGATGAACCTTTAGCCTCCTTGGACTCCTCCCGTCTGTGCTTCAGAAGAAGGAACTGCTCCCCCTTTCCAACATTTCCCTTCACACCCACCCTTGCTGAAAGTGACCCGGAGAAGTTTTCTAAGATAGACAGAAGAGGTTTTGGGGCACACAGCACTGGTCCTCCAAGTTGAGGAAGTGGGATGTGGGTTCATCAGGGGGACCAGGTATGCAGGGTATGGTACCAAGTACTTTTAGGAAAAGCACAAGTATGACACTGGGGCTCCTCCCAGGTAGTTCTTACCTCATCGCTTGGGTCATAATACTGCTCCAGATATGGGTGGGCCAGAGCCTGTTCTACTTCAATCCTCTTGTGAGGGTTGAAAGTCAACATCTTATCCAGTAAGTCTAACGCTGCAAAGAAAATGGTGTACAGTAGTAAGAAGCAGAAAGAACAGCCTCCTGTTGAATGAACTGACCCCATAAGCATTCAACTTAGCATCCTGCAAGGAGGACAGCCTGTACATCTCAGACAGATGGTCATCTCTCTGAGCTTCTTGAGACCTTGGCAGGGTAGGAATCAACCATCTGACACCCATAGACTCAATGTTTATGAAGTGAGTAGCCAAAGGTCAGAGAACCAGGAGGTATAAGAGCTAGGGCTCAATCCTAGACCTTTCTTAAAAGCTCGGGCTTTCCCTAAATCGCTGTTCTGCTTTGCTGACAACAGAAGCAAAGTCCTTGTGTGGATGTTGTTGTTAAGTGCCACAGAGTTGACTCCAACCCATAACGACCCTGTATAGGGTTTCCGAGGAGCAGCTGGTGAGCTTGAACCGCCACCCTGCAGTTCAAATGGCTTTGAAGTCTGGCGCATTAACCAAAAGCGCCACACCAGGGCTCCCCCAAACTGATCCCCAACTCATGTTTGCCACAGACAGTCAAGGGGCGATGTTTTCTCAGCATACAGATAAAGCCTGGGTTTTCAAGGTCAAAAAAGACAACAGTCACCGGGCCTTCTGTCACACAGCAATCTCCTACTTCCAAGTACATGGAGTGAGGCTCCCTGACTCTGCATCTTGAAGTCTTTCTTCAAGGTCCAAGTGTAACAGTCCTGTCTCCACCACAGAAGTTAAAAGGTGAGTGCTTCTTTTAGGTAAAGAGTGCAGAAGTAGGGGCAAGTGTGGAAGTCTCATGACCGTGGATGGGTAGCTAATGTTGAGTTAACCCCAACAGCCTCTGGGAGGCAGTGTCCAGGCACCACCTCTACCTTAAGGCATAAGGATGGCCAAATGGCAGGGCACTCAGAGGTTGGGGATGAGGGCAAATGGAAACGTTGATGAAATACTGCATTTAGTACTGGAGAACATGTGTCAGAAACACGGGGTAGAAAACTATTGTTTTGGCAAAGAGGTATAGCAAAGGGCAATTTTTGGAAAACGATCTTGCCACCTTTAATTTAATGATGCTCAGACCAGTGGGCTTTTAAAATATGTTTTATCGTGCCAAAACTACATTTAAGAAAACACTGGGTATTTTAGCTATTTTTTTAAGCATACAACTCAGAGACACTATTCACAGTCATCATGTTGTACAAACTTAGTCACTATTCATTTCCAAATTATTCCACCATCATTAACAGAAACTTCATGTTCTAAAACCTAAGATTCCTTCTTCTCCCTACCACCTCTGGTAACCATTAATGAAAAAAAAAACAGGGACAAAGTTAGGGCCTCTGATACATTACATAAATACACTATCAAATATAACTGAAAACACACAGAAGACAAAATAGATGACTGGGACCTCCTAAACATAAGGCACATTTGTGCATCAAAAGATTTCACCCAAGAGTAAAAAGAGAACCCATAGACTGGGAAAAAAATGTGTGGCAATGACATATCAGACAAAGGACTGGTGGTGGTTACGTGTCATGGAGTCAGAACAGACTCATAGTGACCCTGTACTGGGTTTCCGAGGCTGCAAATCTTTACGGGAGCAGAAAGCCTCATCTTTCTCCTGAGGAACAGCTGGTAGTTTCAAATTGCTGACCTTAAGGTTCGCAGCCCAATTCGTAACCACTACGCTACCAGAACTTCCCTAGACAAAGGACTACTATCTAATATTTATAGAACACTTCAATGTCTCAAGAAGAAGATGAAAATCCAATTAAAAAATGGATAGAGGACATGAACAGACAGCTTACTAAAAAATACATTCAGGTGGTCAACCAACATAAAGAAATATGTACAATAACTAACCATTAAATCAATCAAAACAACAATGTTGTGATATTATCTTACTCCAGCATTAACAGCAAAGAAAAAAAAAAAAAAGAAAAGAAATGCATGGAAACTGAGTAACATCCTGCTTAAAAGCTATTAGGCATACAAGATGAAGTAAAAAAATTTCTTAAGTCAAATGAGAATGAGACATCAAGGCAAGTGGTCGGGTCCCTTCAGAGCAAACCCCTTTCCAAGACTAAGACTCAATGGGAATACACTCTTTGGTTGCTGACCACGTTCATCACCAATAAGGGGAAGTGCGGGAAAAACAGCAATGAAGCAGTGAGCTAAGCCTTACAATGTTCAACAGACTCCTGTGGACCCAGGTGGAGACGTGGTTGGCCAGCAGTGTTGCAAGACCTAGGGATTCTTGGGCCCAGAGTCAGTGACACAGCCACAGAGGACTAGAGTGGAGAGTGAAGCATCGAGCTGATAAGAAGAGAGGGCATATGCACAAGAATACCCACCCTTTCAGATAATATCCACTTGACCTGGCTTAATAACTGGATGATCAGAGCTCAACTAGAATAAGAAAAGAAAGAAGAGGAAAAAAAGAGTAATTGGATACAAATTGATGAACTTGACCTACACCTATGGATGCAGTAGCTCAAAAGAGGGAATAAAACTTTACAGCGAAGATCAGTCCCACCCTCTTCATACACAGAGTAGACAGGAATGGGCAACTTGGACATTGGCTACCCCAAATGGGGGGGGGCTTCAAAGGCAAGAAGTGCCTGGCTTACAAGCTTTCAAGAGGGAATCAAGATCCAGAGGGCGTGGAGGAAGGTAGAATCTCCACTGAGTAGTATGCAATGTACTCAAAACTAGAAAGGAAATGCTGATAGGTGTCTTGTGATACAATAGTGAGTAACTGTTATCAGGAACGATTGTGAGAGTTGGAAGTGTAAAGGTACATGTTTTGTAGCAAGGATGGGAGTGATTAACTTTGCAGTCTAGGAGTGGAGATCCCTGGGACCACCAAGGGAGAAGAGCGGAGAGCGGGACCCTACCCAGAGAAGCAGTGACACCACAGATGGAGGCAGAGACAATGATGTGGAGAGATGGAGCAGCTGGGGACTTTAAACCCATAGAGGGAGAGGAACTGTGTGCTGATGACCAGGGGGCAGGCTTGTAGGGTATACCCTTTAGTTGGTCGATGATGCATGGAGGGTATTGCAACCATGGCAATGAAATGATATACGATAGGATGAATGTAAAACTAATGTTCTCCCATGTAAACTATCACATAATTCACAATAAAACATAAAAAACGAGAATGAAAACACAGCATATTAAAGTCATTGGGACACAGCAAAAGAGGGCATTTATAGCAATAAATACACACAGCCAAGAAGAAGAAAGAAGCAAAATCAATGCCTTAATTTAACATTCCTAAAATTAGAAAGAGAAGCAATTGCTGTCAGAAGAAAGAGAAAAAAGGTTAGATGGGAAATGAATGAAATAGAAACCAGAAAAATCGAGATCAACAAGACAAGAAGTTGGTTCATTCAAAGGATTAATAAAATCAACAAATTACTGGCAAATCTAAGAAAGAAGATACAAACAATAAGAATAAGATATTATAAGGGAGATGTTACAATGGGACGAATGGGGAAAAGGATAACAACAGAATACTATTGAGAACTAAACAACACATTTAAAAATCCAAAAGAAATGGATACATTTCTAGACACACACAACCTACCTAAACTAATTACAGACTAAGGTAGAAAATTGTCTCTTGACTGGCGTATTTAATCCACTTACAAGTGAAGAAATTGATCAAATCACCAAAAAACTACCTACCAAAAAAGTCCAGGCTTAGATGGCTTTACTGGTGAATTCGACCAAACATTCAGACAGGAGGTGACACCAATTCTACTCAAAGTACTCCACAACATACGAAAAGACTGAAAAATCATGAATTCATTTTACAAAGCAAGCATAATTCTATTACTAAAATCAGGCAAAAACATCACTAAAGAAGAAAATTATGAAACAATATCCCTCATGAACATAGATGCAAAAATTCTCAAAAATATCCTAGCCAACAGAATTCAACAATGTATCAAAAAACAAAACAAAAAAATCAACCCAACCATGACCAAGTGAATTCATACCAGGTACGCAGGGACCGTTCAATATTAAAGAAACAATCAATAAAACAAAGGAAAAAAATAACATGATCATATCAACTGATGCAGAAATGGCATTTGACAAAACCCAACATTCATGATAAAACAGTCAACAAAATAGAAGAAGAGGGAAGATTCTCAATATAATTAAGTGCATATATAGGAATTGATGGGACAAAAATTGAAATCTCCCAAGAAAATGAGGCAGCATTGGAGGCACTCACTCATCTATGCCAAGAAATTTGGAAGACAACTATCTGGCCAAAAGGTTGGAAGAGAGCCTTATTTTGTGCCCATTCCAAAGAGAGGTGACCCAACAGAATGCAGAAATCATAGGAACAATATCTTTGATATCTCATGTGAGTAAAATTTTAATAAAGATAATACAGAAACAGTTGCAAGCATACATTAACAGAGAACTTCCAGAAGTTCAAGCCGGAGTCAGAAGAGGCCATGGAACAAGGGATATCATTGCTGATGTCTGCTGGAGCTTGGCTGAAAGAGAATATCAGAAAGATGTTTACCTGTGCTTTATTGACTATGCAAAGCTTTCAACTGTGTGGATCATGACTAGTTATGGACAACATTGCTAAGTATGAGTGTATTCCTGAACACTTAATTGTGTTCATGAAGAATCTGTACCTGGACTAAGAGGCAGTTGTTCCAACAGAACATGGGAATACTGAATGGTTTAAAATTAGGAAAGGTGTGAGACATGGTTACATTCTTTCACCATACTTATTTCACCTATATGCTGAACAAATAATTCGAGAAACTGGGTTATATGAAGAAAAACATGGCACCAGGATTTGAGGGAGACTCATTAACAACCTGCGATATGCAAATGATACAACCTTGCTTGCTGAAAGTGAAGAGGACTTAAAATACTTGCTGATGAAGATCAAAGAGCACAATCTTCAGTATAGATTGTATCTCCATGTAAAGAAAATAAAAACCCTCACCACTGGACCAATCAACAACATTCTTACAAAAGCGG